AAAAGAAAACAAGGTCACGTTTTGACGACGCACAGGTGAAAGTGATTTAAAATGAGACTTTATATACGTACTGCCGAACTGACACTTAGATTTTGTCTCGTTTATGTATCTGCTTGATTTGAAATGAATTTTTGATGAATGCAAGTAAAAATCAAGCGTTTAAATGAAAAATACGGGTACTGCTTCTGTACGGGAACTGCTCGCATGCCAGTAGGGATTTATCCACAAACAAGAGTTGGATATAGTCCTATAATCTTAACAATGTGGGCTTTATGTAAAATATAGAACATTCCTAGAATGTAAGAACTGTATGTTAATTACCATAATTTTCAGCAGCAAGTAATTTATGGTGATTTTGGCATTCTTGTGTTTTCATAGAAAATAATTATTTAAAATCTTTAAACTTTCTTTCAGAATGTTTGCTAAGTGGACAAAGAATGAAGAGAGGCCTGCAAGTGGAAGTCTTGTACAGTTGATAACTAAAGACAGTAAAAACAGATCTTGTCTTAGCTTGATATACTTCATTCAGGGCTGTGATTGTTGTAAAAATGTGTATTTTTAGAACTAACAGATATATCTATAGTCAATAATGCAGCATTTACTGCCAGTAATGGCACTGAGTTCAGATTTTTATACTTTATAAATGATAACTATTTGAGATTGAAAGAAGTCTTTGGTTTATTTTCTGTTGATGTTTGAACATGATGCATTCCAAAAAAAATATTTTGTTTCGTTTTGAATGAATGTAAATTATTTAATAGACCTTCTTACTGTGAACAGTTTTGTTTTATACAAAACATGCCAATTAGCTATCCATTAGACCTCTCCAGTGTTTTCAATACTATTCAAATTGGCTGACTGGCTATCCAAATGCTACACCAGGTTAAAACATGGTCTTCGACTGACCTTGTTTAGACAAAAGAACGCATGGTTTTGTTTTTAATACATTTTGTGAGCAATTGACCTAGCAATAAATTGGAAAGTCGGAGTTAAATTGTTACTGCTAAATCAGGAAAGGTCCATTTATTTTAATTAAATTTTTATAATTTAACTGCAATAGCAATCTTGATAAAGTAATGAAGTAACAAATGCTCAACTTTTTTACTTAAGGAAGTGCTGAATTTTGGAGATTGTAAAATTAATAACCTTTACTCTGCTGGAGCCAAGAGTACCGTCTGATAAGGCTCTATACCCTTTGCTAAACTAATTCATATTTTCATCCCTAAAATTGATAATGGACAGTGCCAGATATGGTAGCCAGACTAGTCCATTTAAGTAATTCAGCAGGATAAGGGTTACTAAGATTGCAGCAATATGTTAGCTAGTTTGTATTGATGAAGGTCTGTTATAAATGCATTTATAAGTTTATACTATTAGGTGAAGGTGTTGTTCATGACATAAATTTATTATTGTGGTAGCTACAATACATTCAGGGTAGAATTCCTGTTGTCATGTTGTTGTAAACATAGATATAATGTCAGTTTAATGACACAATTGTCAATTTATAGAGCATTTATTGAAAATATTACCAATTTATAAACCTAGTCAAATTATTATTCAAGTTTATATTATGATTAATGAATATGGGAGCATGCCCAGTACATCAACATTACTCAGAATTTGCTTAAAGTATGATACATATTTTATCAACATTTAGAAATTAGTCCTTGAATAAAATTTGTAGTAGATAATTATGATCTATATAGATCTGCTAGTTACAAGAAATGTCTTATTTTGAACAGATACTATGTACACATATTATATTTGTTGCCATTTTATGAGAGACTTTTAACTAAACTAAGTACATGTACTTAAATTTTATCAATTATGAAATATAACTGCATTTATAGAAAATTCAGTCAAAATGGTGACATTTTCATAATATTTTGTATCAATTTGAACTAAAAGATTTGGTTGGTACTGATGACATGTGACATGTTTATACTAGTGTATAAGGTAAACTGGGCCCATTCAATCATATATGTATTTACTGTGATCTAAAAATATAAACCATTCCAACCATCCTTTTTACTGGCCATGAGATAATTGGTGCACACTATTCTAAGTATATTAAGTGAAATTGACAATGATTTGATCATATAAATGTACATCAAATGGTAAATATGCACCTTTCATGATAATCACAGTTGAAGCAAATTCTTATGCAATACTGATTACATTTTACTTACTTTAATCTTTATTTTATCATTTTATTTTGCTTTCTCTATATATTTTGCCATATATAATAAGCCCACCATACATATGTTTTTGCTTTTTTAACACAGAAAAGATTTTCATTTTCTTGTATTGATCCATGACTACTTTTTGTTTTTTTTGCTAACATCAATCATGTTAACCTTGCCAATATTCGAGTATTCTTTCTAATAATCTCATTGTTCTTTTTTTTGTATTCAATATGTTTGAATGGTGCATATTTTGATGAAAATCTTCATGCTTAAAGTGTAATGAACAGATTATATCATAAAGTGACTACATTTTTTATATACATGTTTTATCATTGTTTTGAGATTACTTTATGGGATTGACTTTTTTGTAGACTTAAACTGCTGATACTCTTGGTTATAATTCGTCACCATAGTGCAAGAAGGGGTTAACTTCTATTAATTAACCCGTTACTGCACTAAGGTGACGATATGATGATATGACGATTTGTTGTTGTTGTTTTCTCTAACATTTTTGTATTAGTTATTTGATAACACTGTTTTATTTTGGTATAGATTCTAATCAAAGTATTGTGTTTTAATCAAAATAAGTCCAGTATCTTTGTTGAAAAATTGGTTTTTTAATCTATTTTTAAATTGGTTGTTTTTGGCTTTTTTTCCATAAGATACATGTTTATTCCAATAATAAATTCCATTTTACATCAAAATATGACAATAGTATACTAGTACTTAGATAAACAATACTGGAAGTAAACATGGTATAAAGTTACTGGATACAATATTAGAATGTTGTTAACATACTGTAAAATTGTTGTGGTGATCTCAAATAAAATCTTATATCAACGCGTTTACAGGAGTTAGTGGTTGTTTCTGTGACTTCAACCAGGCATCTATTATATCCAGAATTATATAACGGTAATATTTGCACGATTTGTGAAACACTGTTATGAGAGTGGTTATATTTCCCATCGAAGGAGGCATATAGTGTTACCCGCTGTACAAATGTGCTGTGCCTGCATACGTGGGTGCGTCTGTTCAAATGTCATGTCTGGCGTAACTCTGTAATGCATCAAGGGATTTTGAAATAGCTTGGCAGAAATATGTGTCGTGTGCAAGAGCTAGATACCTAGCTTTGAGGTCAATGTCACACTTACAGATCAATCTTAGAAAATTCGGTCCATACCATTACTGTCATGCATCAAAGGATTTTAAAATAACTAGGCACAAGTGTGTTGCATGTTGAGACAGTGTTCCATGAGCAAGACCGAACCCGCTTACTTCAATGTCATGGTCACACGAAGAGGTCAAAGGTCAGCAGTCAGAAAATCTTGCCCGGGTTATAACTCTGTCATGCATTAAGGGATTTTGAAGTCAGTTTGATGATCAGAATTTTCGTTTTTTATTAAAAAAATATTTTTATTGAAATATGCTTACTTAAACTGACGCTAAACCCCTGCAAAACCTGTATTTGATCACAAGTACCGTGCCTACCTAGAGCTTTCAGTGTGGTACAAGACTAGATTTAATACCTCAGTGTTTTATTATGTACCATGTAAAATAATGTCAGTGATGTATGAATATACAATATATATTTTCTATCTTTCTACATGCTACAATTTAAATGATAAAACTCATTTAAAATAAAACTTCATTTAGAAAATCACGAAATAACAGCATATATGTATATATACATTCAAGAAACTTGACACTTGATTTTTACAGTCATACGGGTTTTATGAAAATCCTAATACACCTTGATGGTGTCATTTATATCTTTCAACATTATTTTATGCGCTTATTGAAGTATAAACACACAGGGTCTAGTTCCAAACTATTAAGTAGAGTTGTCTCCCTTCAGCTCTTTGGATGATTAATGATTAGGTTATACAGTCAATATATTACAAATGGATAAATAATGATTACAATTTAGTTTAAACACATGTTCACATTTATTTAGCGCTATAAATGTCAATTATTCAATTTCCTCGACAAATCCTCGTACGGCAAACACGTGAACATAATAACTAGCACCGTTCCATATAGCAGTCAAACTGAGGAAAAGAATGCATATCCAGTTTATAGTGAATGAATAATAACACAACACCGACCCACACAACGTAAGAGCGCAAAATATCCAGTTCCAAACATAAAACATACCACAACGGTACCTGCAATATAAATATTTATATTAACAAACATTTTTATGTATGTACTCGTATCTTATTGAAGGCTCATCCCAAATAATGTTGTTATTAATAAGCTGTTTGATTTTGGTGTTCTTTAATAGTTTCCAAAAATGGTTATTATTAGCCTTATAGCTGAATCTTTTGCTCTTTTGGCCAGAAGAAAAGTTAAATTGATTTTGTATGGAAGACAAAATACCATCTTGTTTTCGTGTTGCTACTTTTTACGAGTCAACGCTACCTTCTTCAAGTGATTAGCATCTGCTATGATTAATAACATACTTTCCTCATGGACAAATATTCTGATGCTGGTGTGTTTAGGCATGGCAGACACACTATAAGACTCTCTTAAATAACAAAATACCAAATTATCGGTTAAAAGGTGGGGGTGCCTTTTGACCTAAAGACTGTTGGTTTAATCCTTACTCGGATCGAGATCATGTTCCTTCACATTGCACCAGTACTGCTTAGTTTCTAACGTATTTTATATGTTGCAATCACGGCTAATATAAATATGTATAAACTTTTCAATACATGTGCATTCATCCTTATATATAACAGGCATTGTAAACATTTCTATACATTAAACACACGATATTTATACTTGGAGAAGTAAATTCATTAAGTCAAATAAATTTTAAGCAATTTATTGCATGTACCAACCTTTTTCCCACGCAATTAAACAATTTATACAGAAAACTGTCTTCTTTTTCGCCAAGGTAATTATAACTAGAAACCTCTTTGCTAGAACTGTTCAAGACATTAACCACGAGCGAATATATCAACTGCAATAGAGAAATGATGATGTTTGCTAGAATAAATTAAGTATACAATTGACAATCATTCATGAAGTATTATTCCAACACAAAAACAAGAAGACAAATTTAGTTTTAATGATTTATCTAAGGCTTGGCGAAATTTAAAAAATAACACGATAATTGAGCCAACCGATAGGCCCATTTTTGGATGGAATCAAATTGAACTGTATATTGTCGTATCCTTCCATGTTTAAATATTGTATCATATGAGACTTACTAATATTGTATTAGATAATAGATAATCTCTACATAAAATAAAGGTTGAAGTAATTTACGCGTATAGGTATTTGAAGTCTGACGTGAATTGATAACATTTCTCCAAAAAAAGATACATTTGCTTAAAACTATGCTCAACTTTACGAGATTGAAGTCTAGTCAAACTGGAAAACAATAAACAGTAATTTTTATTGATTATAGATGGTATATTTGTATACTTACACTATGTATGACAAATGCAGCAAATGGTATAATATATATCCATAAAGCAGACAGTTCCGGCATCTCTGGTAGAAACTCGGTGTACCAATAGATCGACACTTCCTTCGGATACCATCGAGCTCTTCAATATTATATATTTATAAATAATTTTATGTCAAAGGAAAATAATATATGCACTATTACTGTAATGTCTTAAACTAAGAATAAACTATAATAAGATTGTCAATAAGTTCTGCTCAACTTAAGCATTATTCGTCATATTTTGCAACACATGCATTTTATAAATGGGCGCCGTCATGACATTTTGTACCTTCGGACAAGTTTTTCAAACACCGGTTAAAAGTCCGCGAAATTGTTCGCAGTTTATGTCGGCCTTTCAAGCACCTTGTTGTCGCTAGATCATGAATTTTCACCATTTGTAGACGAAATTTAGACAGAATGTCAGAGAAGAATGATTTTCAGGTATTTTTGTATCTTTTTATGTCTTTTTTTAAAAAGAAATACAAAGTTTTAATGTGCAAAACTAGAATTTTTATTTTTTAGGAAGTTGCGTCTGCTGTCAAATTTGACAGATTATAAGAGCGCTTCAGTTAAAAAAATGAGTTTATCTCTGGTGAAATCATGTTTTTGACTTGTCAGTTTGTATCCTGCATGTAATATATAGAACAAAGTATTTGAAATGTAAGTTTTAGCTATGAATTTTATCGAATAATCCTGGTTTTCAGTGGTTAAACTTCTTAGCAACAGTATATACAAAAGGAATTGTCTCCCTTCATAACATAGTTACAGTGCAAGAGTAGTCGTCCATGATATCGATCGATTTACTATAATATAGAATAATTAAACCTAACATAGATGTATATGCCTCTGTGATGTAACTGGTAGAGTGTAAGTCTACCGATCGGGCGGTCAGAGGTTCCAAACCTCGTGCTATCTTTTTTTTTTATTAAATATTTATATTCTGTGGTATATATATATAATTATATAAAACTATTTTATAGATGATTTGTTGAGAAAGTGTTTTTTATAGGTAAAATACATTACCTGATTTACTATCTTAACTGATTTATTATAACTGGGAAAAAATATATTGTATTTTATTTTGTCCCAGATTTTAACTGGTATTACCTGAATATCTATAGATTATTAAAATTTATTTATTGACTTTATTTAAACGCAGGAATTAGATGAGTTATATGAGGAATTTGGCGTAGTTAATGAGACAGTAGATAAGGCGCCACATGTAACTGAGGACGAATTATATGAAGAGTGGGGAAACGATGATGACGACCAACAGGCAGAGTCAATCATAGGACGTGTCCACGAGTTTGTCAACAATGCTGTCAACAAATTTTGTTTGCTTATTATTTACCCAAAGTATGTAGGACGCACAGAGAGAGCGACAGGTCTACAGACAGACAATGGAAGAGGCTCGGGAGGAAATGAGGCACACATCAGTCACAGTCAATCGACCTGCCCAGCCATGCACTAGTGATTTAACAAAAGTGCACTATACATTTGACTATTCTCAAAATGTGACAATACCACACCATAGTCAACAAATGGGCCCTTTGTATTTTGTGACTGGCAGGAAAATACAAATTTTTGGCGTCCGTGTTGATTCTGTGTCACAACAACATAATTACCTAATAGACGAGGATGAATCGATTGGTATGTTAAGAATAAATAAATAAATAAATAAATAAATAAATAAATGAATAAATAAATAAATAAATAAATAAATAAATAAATAAATAAATAAATAAATAAATAAATAAATAAATAAATAAATAGATAAATAAATAAATAAATAAATAAATAAATAAATAAATAAATAAATAAATAAATAAATAAATAAATAAATAAATAAATAAATAAATAAATAAATAAATAAATAAATAAATAAATAAATAGATAAATAAATAAATAAATAAATAAATAAATAAAGTACATGTAATTAATAAATACATAAAAAATAACTAAATAAATTTTTCTTTTTTTTCAATAATATTGAAGATATTTTGCTTTTCAGAATTGTAAAATATTTATTTCATATAAAAAGATAATCGATTAAATATTCTAAATGTGTGCCGTCGAAATATTAAATATACTTAAAATTAATGTAAATTAACAGGTGTTGATGGTACAGGGACGCACGGGCCAAACTCAGTTATAAGTATGCTACACCACTGCCTCGAAAACCAGGGATTTTGAGAAAAAGCTTGCATCATGCACGCCGACAACTGTGGTTGTGAATATTTTTATCGTATATATGTTTTCAGTTTAACCATTACGATGCGACACTTTACAAAGCATCGTTTTAATTTTAAGTTTTAGTTCAAATTGTGAATATATTTTTATAACAGCGCAGAATAAAAATCGCTTATCGCGTATCTGGCACGTCGGATTCATATGGGGCTCCATGATGAGATAACATCCCTAATGTGAATTCCTGGTCACACAAAGTAATTCATGTTTTTTATTCATATCATATTTTATACTCGTATAATGCAAACTTATGTATTTTAGTTTATGACAGTCCTCTACATTACTTCTGGTCTGCACAAAACGAGCATTTGCTATTTTTATGTGTTTAAACATGTATGTGCTTGCACACCAGCGGGCATGTTTTATACATGCCATAGAGACAATCTGGCCATTAGCTTAAAACTAAAACACTGTCGAACAAATCGATTATACTAGAACAAATCTACTTGCAATTATTTTTTTCCTATAGAAATAAAGAAAAGAAATCAACATAAACTATAAATAAGCAGTTTTTGATATAGTTTTATTCGATTTTAGGTGTCTTGTGGACGGAGGATTTGGACATATCAAGAAGCTGTATAGGCGCACGGACTGCGACAGTATTTCGCAGGTGGCATCTGTCGTGAGAAAGTCTGCTTCAAGCAATTCCCCCGTGCTCTTCCGCAAGGAGGATGGATGTCAGAATTGGACTTGGTATTCTATTACAAATATTTGAATTTCTAAAATTTACACCCCATTTAAATAAGTTTGTACAATAAAACAACTAAACAAATTAATAGAGAGCTCAATTCGGCGCTCGGCATATATGCTGTCATATTACTTGTACGTGTATTAATAATTGCTTGTCATTGTAAATTATCAAGTAGTTTATGATTGACATAATATTAACTAGTCAACATATGTTACAGGTATGACTGGAAGACATTTTTGCCGCGCTTCTTTTTACCATTAAGGGGTGTACAGCGGTATCACTATTTCCGTGTTACGAAGGATGCTGTATACGTGAAAGAGCGCTCAACTGACGTAGAGCAGCAGGTCACAATCCTAAAGAGAAATGCTACAGTACCAGAAGATATTCTCCCTGCAGTTTTGCTACCGGGTGGACTTTCCCGCGCAAGGCAGCAATACCTGTACAAAAATGTACGACCTTTTGTACGTCAGGCGTATCGTGATGTGACGTGCCCACCGTTACGGGAAGAATGACAATTTAGATTTACATGTACAAATGTATACATGCATTATCTTTGTCTGTATGTTTAGTCCTTAGATTTGTTATCAATAAACTAGATATTTATTTGATATAAGAATGATCTATATATTTCAAGTTATAAAATTTTGTTAATCGTAAATTAACCAATATACTGGTTACATAAGTGCTGATCCGTTCATGTGATTTCTTCCGTTATCGTTTTATTCTTATGATTTTGAAGTTTGTAACTTCATAGGACTGTAAAATAAATTCATTTGGAGTTACTGTCTTTATTGGTTCTTACACAATCCATTCTTAACACAAGGCAATTCGGCAATAAACCACGACGTTCTTTAAAACGTTCAACGTTTAAACAAACGTCGTCGTCGACGTCGGAGCAACACATTGGTCTATGTACATAAAAAGATATATCTTTGTCATTTTTCAAGTTATTTTTGTCAAATAAAAAGTAAAATCATCTGTAATAATTGGTTTCTATGAAAATTATGAAACCAAAAAATCGAAGAAAATTGCCCGAAGGGTCATTTTGTCATGACGGCGCCCAAATAAGATAATATAATTGAATTCAATCGTGTTTGTGATTGGACATCAGTGGCCGAATGGTTAAGGTTTTCAAGCCACTTGCCTCTCACCGCTGTTCGAATCCCGTCATTGACATTTTTCATGTAAAGAATCTATCCAGATAGCGTACGGAAAGTGGGTGGTTTTACTCAGATGCCGGTTCGTGCATGACTGAAATAATTCATGGAGGGGTACCTGAGTAAGACAGGCTGGGAAATCGCCATGTGACATTTTCAGTGTTGGTGCCACGTAAAATCCAACAAAGATAATATTTGTTTTGAAACTCTGCGATATTTCAAGTTTGGCCATCTTGGGAGATCTATGTAGTCTTATTAATTTTGTACAATTTTGTACAACTACAATAACTACTGTACATTAAAGCAGCATGCCTCCTGCTGATTTTGATTAAATTTTGAAAGTGTATTTAACAGTAAAATAATGTCACGCAGTAGAAATATAGTTTGGTGATATATACCGCAAAATCAGTCTTTAATTTCACAAATCTAAATTATCTCTTTAATGTTTAAGCTTTTACATTTCTTAAAATTTTGGTACATTTTTCTCAAGTTTGGTTTTCTTGAAATATTTTGGCTCACCTGGAGTCGTGCTGCTCATACTAAAGAAATACTTACACGAACGAGAGTATTGGTGGAAGTATGTGGATATATGTAGATGTAACTTTGTCAATACTGTGCAGAACCAACGAGTTTCTGTAGATTGGTATAGCCCATATTAATGGACCAAGTGATAACGAAAACATGATCGAGAAAATAATGCCATTGCTCGGAAAACTTAAATAAAGAAAATCGTCTGCTTTAAATAAATAAATAAATGGCACCATAAAAAAGTAATACATGTACATATTTTTGCTTACTAAGTTGGTATTAATTTGTATATTTACATTAAATTTACAAATGATTAAGTATGTACCATGTACTATGCAAATAGCTAAGTAATTATTCATAATGCTTTAGAAACTGATATGTCAGATCCTATATGTTATGTTTTTATAACATCCTAAAATGATCAAAAAATATATTATTGTTTGTTTTTTTTACCGCTTTCTGTCCGTTTTGCACTATATCATATAATTTATATTACTAATTGGGTCAGTAATATTATCTAACAATCTTGCACTTGGCGCAAGTACATGTCTATCTTATCAGTATCTTACTGTACGAGTATATCTGATAACTTATGTTCACTTTCAAACAATCATGTAGTCAATGTCATTCAAACAACTCGTGAAAAAATTAAACTCACCAAAGAAATATTAGACAAAACATGTTTGCATAGTAACAAAAATCTAACAGAAAGTAATGCCATCTTTTTCTCCTGAAATAGATTTAAATTATCAAAATTTACAATATAACTTAATCCAAATGGATTAACAGTCCAGGCGATATCAGCTAAAAGACTGTCACTTACAGCCTCCATTTTACCTTGACACTAATTAACTACATGTATATTTTTCTCTCCCTCGTAAAAAAACTACATGCTGACGTTCTTTTGGGTAAGTCGTCGTATATCTATTAAATATTTTGAATTGACCGGACTATATTATAGAAATGAATAGCGTTTGCATATAATTCGGTATTTCAGTTTAAACTTATTCATATAACCTCGATTAAGAAATAAACTTTTTAATTTCACTCTCGAATCCTTTTCCTGGTATGAATCAGTGCTGACTTATATTGAGCAAACATGATTGTGAACGAGGTAGTGTCCCCTGGTTTGAGAGGCAGAAAACTTTTTAATTTCTTTACTACTCGTTCGACCAAATACTAGTAGCTGTCAATTGCAGAGGTAGGATGGGTAAATTAAACTCTAGAACGTTGTTCTACAAACATTTGTTTTTTACATTTGATTCATTGTAAACAAATATTTTAACTTACTGAGGCTGAGATCAATGGGAAAAGATAAAGACTATAATATAATGAAATATTTACCAGTACATTACAATACGTATTGTGACGAGGACCGGTGTTAGTAGAGCATATATGTACGGTATTAGCCAGGGAAAGCTCACCATTCCCTGTGACAACAGTACTATAACAGCACACGTACACGTGAACGTACACTTCTCGTTTAAACGTACACCTTTCACGTCTCGACAAAGAACCTGTAGTGGATTGCAAAAATATCATACTTTGATAATGCACTACAAATTGATTATTTGCATTTTACTGGTAATAGAAGAAGAAAATGACTTAAATAGGCATAATTAAGATGCAAACAACGTGATCATTTACTTGGCGGTAAAGACTCCATAAACAACATGTGCATGGCCGTATGTTCAAAAAATTGTTTTGTTAACATGATTTCTTCAGTCCAAAACAGACATTAAATGTACCGGGCTTCAATTCCAGTATTAAATCAAACTTATGAAAAAACAGAATAAACTGAACAGTAAGACAATAATACGAACGACCGGTAGGAACATTTAACAAATTCGCGATTTTAAATTTATAAAATGCCGATTTTAAACATGTTGAATTCGCGGGTTCCTTATTTCAGATTTATGAAACATTGGTAACATTATAAAATAAAGAATATAAATACACTTACTGAAGATTTTCTCGAGTCATTATTCATTCTATCTATTTCCTCAAACTTTATCATTGTTGTGCGTTGTTCCGAGTTATCCATATTTCACAAAAAATTCGCGTTTCCTCTTTTCTTATTCTATTGTTACTTTTTAAATATGATGCATATTTTTATTCGATTTTACGCACATTTATATCACATATTGCAAGATAGTTTATAAAAAATTCTATCATACATTTACTAGTATATACGCATACAATAATTCTGATATTAGTTTATCTTCGATGCATTAAATTCAAACAAATCCGTAATAATATAAGATTTTCAGTTTCAACATACACTTGACTAAAGATACTCTAAATTACGGTATACCAAATTTAGCTATAAATACGACGATAGTTATTAGAGATTTATCAATTGTATTAGTTAACAATTTGTATCTTATCAATAAATATGATAATAAAATAATCGACAAGCCTTTGACCGATAACTTACTACCACATATCATTATCAACACCATTTTAAATTGGCAAGATTTCGTGCACCTTTCCGTCAATTTGGTCAATGTTCATTTCATTAAATATCAAACTAGATATCAGTTCTATATAAAAAGATATTTAGCAGGAATACAGTTTTAGTACCAATATCGTTCATAGATAGAACTTTAAGATTCCTTGTACATGTTCTCCACTGGTACATGTAAATATCCCGAGCCACCAGTTTATTTATAAATATCTCAGGTCAGAATCTAACTTTGCAAATTGCTTCAAACAAATCTTATGATTTTGCCTATGTATTTGATTGACATGCATGTAAGATGTGTGAAGTTGGCGGCCCAGCGGCCTAGCGGCGTGAAGTTTGCGGCCAGCGGTCCAGCGGCCAGCGGCGTGAAGTTGGCGGCCGGGCGGCCCAGCTTTGGCGGCCAAAAATTTTAATGTTGCAGAAATTTTTTTTAAACAATAAAACGGCATTTAATGAAGTTCTAAAGACATTTCTTATTATTTAAAGGATATATAAAAAGAAATAAATCACTTTGAGAATTTTTCTTTGTTTAACAGAGGGCCATGGCCGCCGGCCATCGACTTCACCCCGCTACGCCGCCAACTTCACACATCTATGCATGTTTCTACATTTTAACTGCTGATTGATCATTCTATGTTGTTTTGGGTACACACGTATTTTAAAAATGCAATATGTGTAGGAACAGATTTTAATTTCGCCATAGTTATCAGAATGTTTAATGTAAAGTATTCAACCGAAAACAGAATATTTATTGTCCAAATATTAAGAAATTTCGTGTTTTTTCCCGGAAATTTTCGTTTTTCATCACATCATTCATCTATATACACTGTATTTAGAAACAAGACTATATAATTGTATTGATTGAAGATATAAATAATGTCCATTATGAAAATGTAAAAATGAAAATAGTTGGAAATGAAAATCATTTATTTTGTTCGTTATATTAAAATATAAGATATAATTATGTAGATTATGTGAATATGTTTAAAAACGATATCCTCCCAATATGGAGTATTATATAGAGGATATTTGTTTGTATGTGTGTAAGATGAAATTTTATTTCATCGAGTGGGCTTTAAAAACAGTATTCTCACGAGATGAAATAAAATCACCATTTACACAACAAACAAACAATTTTTCTTTTTATTTTATGCTTAAAAACAAGTTAGAAACGAAATTTCCATAATATTTACGTTAATATTATCTGTTTTCCCCATTGAGAGCTTCATTTAGTCGAATTTCTCATTAAATACAAGAAGTCTTGGGCTGTAAAATAAGTTCGACAATCAACGTTAAATGGCGGTGATATTATTCATTTTATTTAAAAAAAAATATGAATGATCGCTTGTTTTAATAAAAAAAACCCAATTCTATTAGGAGAAAAAGTCCAACCATCCATCGATATTTCTGTTACTTACTGCGAATTTATATTAGACCTGGCTTTGTTAAATGTAAGCGGCCGCCAATTTTAAAATATGCGTATTTCACGGGAGGAAAATAATTGTGTTTGATTCAGAGGGATACCATTTGGATTTGTTAGTCATATACCTTTTTAAAAGAAAGAAAACTTATTTCAGGATTGTAACAGACAATAAATAAGTGTTGACAGATGTGTAAACATTCAAAAAGCGACTAGGAAATTGGAAAACTTGGAAAGTTGAAAGGCTGCCTAACAAACGCTGGGTTGTTTACTTATTCCTCGGGCTGATGGCTGCCATTGCTTTTCAAGTTTTCATAAAGCATACGACAGTTATTGCTCGTAGGATACGTAAATATGCCCAAATGTCATCAAGAGCAGTTTTGCATGCGGAAGGAATGTATTTTTCAGACTGTAAAAATGAATAAAAAAAATAATATAAGAGACGATATTTGGAGATTGGTAATTTAAATAAATAGAAGTAAGTTTTCTTCTGTTTATTACTTTTGACATTTAAGTTATTTATCAATTTCAGCTTTGCTTTTCTCTGAACAGCCTGACATTGTCAGAATTGTCAGCAAAAATAAATTAAGGTACCACATGGGGTAAATTTTAAGAAAGTCGTTTCGTCATTAAAAATTGTGAAATTATATTTTGATAATTTTCACTGTGAAATTATCAAATATAATTTTCACGGATAAATCAGTAATCCATTGAAAAACATAAAATAAAGTCTGGTATCTACAACATGTTGATACTATAAAATATTTTGCAACTTTTCTATATATTTCTCTTAGAGAACGAGATCAGATTTTGTCTCAGTGTGGTCATTTAGTGACATATACTTCCAATAAAATTTTGTTTTATTTCTATTAATTTATTTTTGACTAACTTTTTATTATTGCCACTATTTCATTCCGCTGATTTGTAAGTGATGAACGTGTCAGATTAGAAACATGTATTCTTGTATGTTATAGGGAGAGAAATTAAATCTTTGAAGAACGTTGATTTGTATATATGTATCGGGAAGATGTTAAAGTAGTTTGCATACGTCTAAATATACAAAATGTAGATCATTTGGAAATACAGATTTTCTGTGGATATAACTAACGAGATACATTGTATATGAATCAGGTCTGGGAATAATATACATCATGTATTTTAGATATCTAACTTTTCACATACAGTGTCTCCTTAACGCCGTAATGAAACATCTGACGGATGAAAATAAGGATACATCTTCTAAATAAAATACGAGAAATTTGTAATACGCTGTTTACACGTTCATTGAAAATTATACTCAGTTTAAAGATTTTTTTATGAAAGTGTTGTTGATGGTCGAAATAAAGAATTCTTCACTTGAATATTTTCAACATCATTTATTTTCAGAAATATTTATTTTACACAAAGTTTTCACACATGAAGAAATATCAAAGACGGTTTGAGAAATTTTAGGTGATATTGTGAACTTTAAGAATCACTAATTTTTATCCACTTATGCATGCAGACTGAACGTGTCAATCTTTTATAGACTGGGTGCACACAGTGCATAAAATAAATGCAGTTGCATGCCTCGTTCAGACTTGATTATCAGCGAAAAACTTTTTCTGAGTATCAATACAAGACCAGTATAATATCAGATAGCTACTCTACATGTATTATTAAAAGCCATATTTGATATGCCGATATAAATATGTAATAAAATGCTTTATTAGCTTGATTACAGAGTCAACGTTAAAGTTAGATCTTGTATTCTAGAAGAGTGGAAAACTTATTGTCTTCCCCGTAGTTGGCATTCAGCGTGACCTTTGCGTCCTTGAAACGGTATGAGTCAAGGTTGACTGTTCCCTCCCACAGACCGGCGGCATTTTGGTTGAGGTGAGTCCAGTTCCCGTCTACCACCACAGCTGCCGATTTGACCTTTGGAATAAACGCCTCAAATTTAGTGTTTGCCAAACTGACGTTGGGGTCGAGGTAAATAGGTGACACGATATAGCAACCCTCTTTCCACTGGGCAAACTGTTTCGGGAAGTTAACGATAGCAGAAGACACTCTTGAGCAGTTTATCAGATAGTTATAAACACCCGGAAGTGTTTTACTGTCGTCTGGTAGAAGCAAAGCGAATATTTGGAGTTTGTACCAACCAACTTCCGGTAGAGAAACAGTGAAGGTTACGACGTCATCTCTCGTCTGCGTGAACACGTGCTGTGGTAATTCCTCATTTTTAGCGCAGTTGGTAAGGTTTGCAGTAACTTTGGTCGGCTTACTGAAACGTATTTTCACTTCAAGCTAAAAAATATAAGAAAAAAAAAACAATTTAAAAAAGTCATATTTAAACTTGATTAAAAACTTAAATGATTCTAGAATGGAATTTTGAATTTCCTAAATAAAACTATAATTGTACTTGATAAACGCCACCCATGCCTTTATCAAAATACTGGAGAACTGTAAAAGAATAAAGTTGTGCCTCATTAATTTGACGGACTTCATTAATGTAATGATGGAGAAAGAAAACGTAATTTACAATGTGCCTGCTGCTTGCATTGTATATGGATATTTTGCTGTTTATTTTGTACTTGTTTATAAATCCAAACTGAGTAAATTGTATATAAAGAAAAGAGAAAAGAAAGAAATCGTTGTTATAAGGCACACTATGATCATTTTATGACGGGAGCATCATCAGTTTGCACAAGAAACCATAATAACATCTAATATGGGAAACAAATTCTTAACTTTAGAAATATTATTCTCAGCGCATGCATATATCGTTCACTTTTACATTGTTCTTTTTTGTCTAAATATGTCTAAATGAATAATGATATATTACTTTATGAATACGTGTCAAATACTGCAAATTTATAGATTGTGTTTTTGAATAACCATTACTTGGCATGCTAAGCGCATGCAAATAACGTCTGAGACGTGCGTGCGCATGAGCTTTTGGTGATATCACGTGTTAACCTACAAGCGATGTTCATGTTATATAAGAAGAATAAAGGATAAACATGTCTTCACAATGTCTGCGACTTATTCAAGAAAAACATTGATGTCGAAGCGTGTGGGGAATTTTCATGTTTTTTTTAAATATTTCTATATACATTTGCATCTGTTTTTCGTGTCATAATGCTTGCTGAACAGTTATGTAACCATTCTGTTTTTAACAACAACTGAGATTTTTTGAAGTCGTGTTATGCTTCAAGGCGATGGATTAGTTTTTTTTTTTAATTAATTTTCATATTAAGTAGTAGATTAAATAATAATTCTACTATCTAAAAGAGCGAGAACTTGTGTTCACGTTACTGACAGAAACCATACTGTTTAACAGATATAAACAGATTGCAATGACTGGCATTTTTTTAGATAATACATCAAAATGAAACTTTTTACCGGCTGCTAAATCTCTGTTCGAATGGTTTCGTCAAGATACAATTTTCAGCATAAAAAAAATGATAGTTAAACATATGAAAATACAAGTATGAAGTTAAAGGGAGCATATGTTAATATACATGTAGCAAATATATATATACATATAATTAGTAAAGTCCTGTTTCTAAACAGTATGTTATAAAACTGTTCTTTATTTACCACGCATCATGTTCACACTGATTTGTTTATTCTGAAATTCCAGTCTACTTACAACCAAGCAAAGATAAATTGTGTTTATAAATTGATTCTATTGCAATAGGCACGTGCCAAACAAAACACGCAAAGTTTATTTTTATGTGCTATTTTTTAGAATTCCTAGCAGCTTCCCGCCTTTTTAAAGCACATTATTTCTCAAAATGAATTCTTTTTTTTTATCTTTTCAGAAGGAGTAAATATGTATTTATTACTAATGTTTTGATAATAGATTTAAGGTATATAAGATTTTTATCACCGAAGATGGGTAGCCCTGAATATGAAATGATTTGTCAGAAAGGTAACCAAACGTAAATCGAGTGATAATTTGACTTCCATACAAATAAATTAATCACTAAAACTGTATACTAACAGTCAAAGAGCCAAAGATAGCTAAGCTTTACACTGTAGAACCAAAATTAAAACCTAAAGAAAATTGGGGAAATGAATATTATAGCATTTTGTTGGGCCAAATAGGCCTTAAAGTTACCAGTGGGATAGTTATGCCGGTAATCTTGTATAACGGAAACTCTGGAAATTATTCAGAAGCAGACGATAAGGAAAACCGCGTGCCCAGTGTGAGATATGTCGGCACATTTATTTAACCTCGTTTACAGGCAAATATCTGGAGCCTGACGTGGGGTGAAACTAATAACAACTTTAGGGAATAAATATTTTAATTTGATTTTATCTAAACGTTATTTGCACTTGACCTTACATATCAGTTCATAATAAGTTTATTAGATAGATAATATCAATGTTATTTATCCCTATGAAGGATATCATGAAGTGATGAAAAAGAAAAGAAAAGAAAAACATTCTTGCTTGTTTTACTGATTGCTCCCTTTTCTCATTTTTACAATATTAACAAAAATAGATCATAATTATGATTTTTGTTCTGTAATTTAATGCAGTATTTGATATAACTTCCATTCAAATATCTTATATATAGAAAGTATCGTCAGGTTTTTTTTTTAACCAGCATGGATCGGCATTGTATAAAAGTTTCAAAACTTATCAGATCATTAGAACAAATAGCAAGAGCACATAGGAAAACCTTTATACACCCACTTTCTATCATTAGCCAGTTATTACTTTAAGTCGTTTTTCTGTCAAAAGACTTTTAAATCTATATATAAATTATCACAATTTATGAAAGTTTCATGCACGTTTTATTACAACTTATCAGCAGTTTTGAACATAAATCATGACAAAAAGTCAATATATTGTACTTTTACAACAAATTTCTGTTTATTCTAAGGCACTCCCTTGAAAAAAATGCATCACTTAAGATTTCAGGAAACATTATACTCATTTACTTCAACCTTGAAATTTAAAAAATAAGCAAGATGAAATACGCCTCATATCTTAAGTATAGCACACAATATATTGCATATCATAGTAAAATGTAATGCATTTTCTTCGTTTAAGCCATACCGCTGTTGTTATTGGCCATAAAAATATTTTGCAATTCACCTGCTTGATTTACATTCTTAGATTTTCTACTAAATATATGTTACAATCAGAGAGCAGGAATAAAATGAGCCGCGTCACGACAATACCAACGTAATGCGTTTGCGACCAGCATGGACCCCAACCAGCTGGTCGCAAACGCACTATGTTGGTTTTGTCGTGGCGCGGCTCAAATATTCTCAAAGAAACCGTCAGCGAATGTTCTCTGGATAAAACTTTAATCATTTCCTTGTCCACCAGTTACAAAGCGAGTTCTAATGATAACCATGTTTTTGTTAGAAATAAATATACTCTATCAAATCATCGTTTATATTAAACAACATTTTATTAAATAAATTTGTACAATATAGAAATATTTTACACACATTTGTTTTGTTTTTGAACACGTCTAACAAATTATGATAATAGTTTAACCATAAAGCTGCCAGCGGCAACTGAAATTACCCATATGACTAGTGCAGATCAAGATCAGCCGGTTCGACCGCGTCGTCTGATAATGGCCTGCACTTTTTAATATTCAATCGGTACATATTTTGAAATTTTTCTAAAAACGATGACTGTTTTTGTCCCGGTTGAGAGACACTACTTAAGATATTGGTTTTTATGCATGCAATAATATTCTTGAAAAAATTAATTAAAAAAACCCAACAGAAATGGTATATATATAAAATAATATAACAACAAAAAATGATAACAAGGTAGTAGTTTCTTACAATTAAGAGTATAAATACAAAACTAAATGAAATTTAAAATAATAGCAAATTAAATTATGACATAAATCAAGTCCTCTAAGCAGTAATGACAAAATATATCTAATCTATAGCCAACTTAGATTCTTTAAATTTTGATCGATTAAAAAAATTAAATTTGCAAACCAGGATAAAAGAAAAGTATATAAGGAGCGTAAAGAAAGTTAAAGCGAAGACAAAAAGATTACCTGGTTGGAGTCAATGTTTATCTCTGGATCCTGATGGCTAGCAGTGCTGAGTCCGAATTCTGCAAACTTTGATTGTGGACCCAGGTAGCCTTTCTGTAATTCCGGTTTTCCTGCCATCACTAATAAAAAGGAATTATTTAATAAATTATTCTATAAAATTTCAAGCGACTTGAAAAAATTCACGGTAAATGTTCTTGAATATACTAAGCGAGCGATATGTTAACACTAGAATTGTAAGGCTTGATTTGACGGTTTTAAGCCAGTGAAATAGATATTCATAGCCTGAGACTTTCCTAAAATAAAGTTCTTATCTATTTTACGAAAGATGCTGATTTTGAAAGATTTGTATTGGCAAGGAGGGGGAGTTCTTGTAGAGAAAATTATCTATCAAGCCGTCATGAGTCTTATCGCGGTTCTTAATTTTACACGAGTTTCTCGCGCTTGCAATGGATGCTCGACATAGGGTAATGCAAAAATAGAGTACTTCTTTCATTGATACTAACGGCCATCATGAATACCTATATAATTTATTAGTTAATGGCATTAAAATTCTCTGGGCAATGGTTGCATTATGATGGAATGGGTTTTCCTAATATATTTGTAAGTCTGACGACTGATTTCTGCACATATGCGCTTTATAAATACGTGTATTCATTTCATATACTCTAATGATACTTGGATGTAATAATAATAAGAAGAACAACTACAGCTATGTAACATCATATAGTATTTCTTTCTTATTTTATAAAAGCTCGATACTATTTTTCTTTTGCATTCAATTTTTCAATCAGTGACATTTAGAAGTAACTTTGTTAATTTGGTTGAAATAACGAAACAATGTCATATGTGACCAAATTGCAAAAACTAAGTATTTGTGCAGTAAATCTATCCATGTAGTTATTCTAAATAGTGAACAGATGATAGAATGTCTTTTATGAAATAGAATACTTTAAAAAATGTACCGCGGCTTCAAATCTTCAATGAAGTGAAACCAAACTTTAAAGACAAATTTCTATTTACACAGAAGTTTTATAATTATTGCACACTAGCAACATCAGTAATTCACATTGTTATGTTTGAGCGTTTGTTCACAGTATGAAAAATGTAGAATTTACGCCTTTGTACTGATAACTGTTCACATGTCTTGTTTGATGCATTTTTCGTTACATATACAGGTTCATTCATTAATAAGATATCACTGGCAGGGCCTACACACCTCTGTGAAATTAATCAGCCTACAAAATTTTACATTTCAGCGAGATTTGTATCATGTTTGTTATGATAGATATTTAACGATTTATTCGTTTTTAATCTCGTTACAAGGATTTATCTATCTTCACTTTACGGTTAACGAACGCTCAGTTTTCTGAGATTCCAAAATTATACATCTGATACATGATAAGATATAGATATACCCACAAAAACCGCTGCAAAGGCTGTGTCGCGTCAAGAAAAAACATGGAAAGAAACATAATATAGTGCACTGGCACATTTTTAGGTTAGGGGCGTATGCTCCATAGTCCGGGGGGTCCTGGTCCCTCCCCGCCGCGGTTTCTCACTGACTATCACTAGAAAGACATCGTATGATGTCTTGGGACATTCATTTCACGTTTGTCCCAGCGTCCGGGGCTACCGTGAAATTTAGACGATTAAAATGAATATTGACATACCCAAACAAATATGGGTTCAGTAGCTTCTACAATTTCATGAATAGTGCAATGACTTTTTTCTTCAATGTATTTATTCACCGACGCCGCTTACGTTAGCTCGCCCTGCATGTATATTTCAAACACGCTAATTCGCCAATCTTTTGAACGTTTTTACGAATTGAAGACTGTAGTATTTTTAATTTCCTGTGTATATTCAACTTTTGTAGAGTTTCGTCCGTCAGCGTTGTAGGATTTTCTATAGCTTCTCAGCTGATTGCATTTCTTGTTGTTCCGACAAACCCGTATTGACGTTAATTAGAAGTCAGTATCGAATTTGCTTTGCGGAGGGTTCGTTCTTTACGGGTCATGGCATTGAAAAATACACAGTACTGTCTACCTGACGTTACATCATAAGCTGGCAAAATTTCGCGAATATTCTTGGACCAGATAAAATTGTAATAAAGGTGATTGTCCCAGAATAGATAACAACTACCTGAATTTTATACTTTTTCCATCAATTAAATTCAGCATTTAAGATCAGCATCACATAATGACACAATTATACCTAAACACCGCACAAACTAAGATAAAATACTTTATGTTACAATGGTGCAAAGATTTCAAATAGAATACAATTTAATATAGGTTCTTCTAATTCTCTGAATAAGTATAAAACATAATTTGCAGATGAAGTAAATATCTTCGTAACTCTGTCATTATGTTATAATGCTTATCATGCATGCATATTTGTTAAACTATTTGTAAATGAAAATTGTATAGATGATATTCAATGTTTGTCAAAAAAAAGTTATAGGACAAAATCTTAATCAAATACAAAGTAGTTGTTATTGTTTTATAATGTTTTGTGTTTGTGTTTCTATTTATTGTTTAGAAGGCCACATTTAAAATTAGGATATGTTATTTGTTTTCTACGATGGTGCCATGTGTTACCTTCTTTAAATAAAGATATTATATACATGTATTATTATTATTATTATTATTATTACTCAAGTTGTTCCGGGATACCAATGTGTTACTTGTCCCGAGTCGCATAAATTTGGATATTATATATAAAATTCAGCGATTTGAACCATAAATACAAGTTCTCCCACTTTAGGTACAGAAATTACAGCAAATGTTTACGTATTTTCTGATGTATAACTTTTAATAAATGTTTACTAGAACATTGAATTGTGCTGTTGCTCTGTAGTTGACAATTTTTTATTTGTGCTGTTTTATATTAAATGTCTGGTACCACGACACTTATTTTTGTAATGAATGCGTCGCAAACTGCTATTCGCAAATTGCCAATGCAGGAACGTTTTTGTTTGTGTTTTGTACAAGTCACTTAACGACTGGTCCACTGGAACTAAATAAAACCGCATGAAACATCTTATATTTTAGCAATACAGGGTCGTTTACCACTGTTTGTAAAAGGTCGCTCTTTGAGACTCGGACACCACATTACAAAGTGAGAAATAACCCGACTATCACGGTCTTTGTATGTTTTCAAAAGTTCTTGGACACACTTAATTGAGGCGATATCTCTTTGCTCCTTAGTGAGCAATTTTGGATACCAACCTAGCCCCAAACACTTAGCTAGAATAAATACTGCCTTCTGATATGCGTACAACTAGCTATCTCCTTAACTGACAACCTTGCATCCTGTCCTACTATAACCTTTACAACAACACAGCAATGTTTGCCGTGGTAACCGAGGGTATAGGCCTACCTCAAAGCTTTGACCCACCATTGAAGTTATATATCCATATATGCTACACAATTCGTAACATGTATTTGCGTTGCAGCTATATCAGGCACGATGCTACATCTAATGAAATTTTGAAAGTTTCTTTTGTTATGGTTAGTTTACTGACCAGTGTATATAACTGCATGCAATTCGAATTGAAATATCTCGGTCATTTTACATGCAAATAACACAATGCCTCATTCAAGTGCAATGAAGCCTTTTAAAATACTATGAGGATGAAACTACGAACACCTATTAGTGACATAACTTATTGAATGATCCTCGTACATTGATACATATCATATATATTGTGTTGCAAAAGAAATTTCCATGGCCATTCTGTACACATATATAGCAAAGTATTGGAATATTTGGCATCAAAATTTTAAAGAATGTGTTGACTACACGATAGTTTACTCTTCCCTCAAATTTAAAACATGATTGGAACACCATTTCAATCGCCTTCATCACAAGTTACTTCACGGCCATGTGGTGTAGAACACTTGAGTTGATCCCTTCGCTATTTTCACGTAAAATAAAATTCTGATGATAAGCTAAATCAAATGTCAATTATCAGTAAACCATCTTGTAGATGATTCATTTTTGAACATTTTGATGTCATATATGCCAAAATATATATGTAGAACTTCCTTGAAACCAAGTGTACAAATCAGTATATAATAGTGAAAGTTATATTACATGTAGTTTATATCATATACATCTTTATCAGCTTTCTTATCATATGATTAAGATACTGTTATCATTTGTTCATACAGTACATGTATCTATATTAGATTTGTTTTGTATTGTCTATTTCCAAAACATTATGTCAATGCCCTAAGTTTCAATATTTCCTTCGCCAAGTTTTACAACAAAACAGACGCAGCTGCCGTCAGCTATACAACCCTTTGTTTTTTGTTTATTACCTTGCATTTGTAATAAATCGACTGTGTTTTTGGCTTGTACTGAAACAATATGCACATTGTTGAAAGTATGCAACGATAAGAAGGAATAAAATATGTGATTTGGTAACGGTATCGAAAATGATTCCTAATCAATCATTTTATTCAAGGACTCAATTCCTACCTGTAAAACAGTTGTAATACATTATCTGCGAACAAATAAGTACAATATAGTTAGTTTAGTTTAAACACATTCATTTTAGCTTAAATTATATTGGTATGCATCACTTTTGAGTTCGCTTGCTGGAACTTATCAGCAGTGTAGTCATATAAGGAAGCATGGTTGTGACTCGAGTGGAGTACAATCCAAGGGCTGAGAATCAGATGTCTGAATCTCCTCTAGACAACCGCCGTACAACCTTGAAATCATATACATGTACCAAGAATGTTTAAAGCTGCACTCCACCACATTCATGCGTATTAGCATGAAAATTGTGAAAATGTGCTTAGAGTTAAATATTGTAAAGTGAACAAAAAAAAGTAATTTACATAAACGGCACTTACAATCCACATAATTTACCAAACTACGACCAAAGCAAAAAAAACCCCAAAAAAAACATTACTACGCAGTAGAAATAAGGTGATAAAAGCTGCTAAATAAGTTAAAGATAAGTTTTTTTATCAGGCTATGGTTATCTAATCAAGTGATTTTTTCTTGAACTTTATCTCTTTTGTTACACAATGTCATTAATTTAATGGGAATTGTAGACATAATCACATTTATAAAACCAACGTGCAATACATACAAAATAAATCTGACATAGTTACACCTTTTATTCTTTGCAGTCATTACAATTGATAAAATCAATAGAAAAGTGAAATATCTATAAAAGTGAGAGATAACCATATCAAGTTTGTCAGATTATGATACTGGCTTCCTCCTTATCGAGTAGAAAATTTGCTACAAGTAATATGTCATGAATTTAGTCCTTATCTGTTAGCATTAATGTGATATTTATATAATAAAATATATAACCTACCGTCTCTAGGCACAATGCAGAAAGATGATTCATCCAGTTTACGGACAAGTTACAGAA